ATCGGCTATTTCGCCCCCGACTGTGCAATCCGATTCTTCGCGTGCATGCAAGAACCTTCCAAAAATTTCATTGGTCAGCGAGAATAGGGTATCGTGATTGCTCTAACCCCGTCGCATTTCCCATTTATCTCGCAGTCAGCAGTATCGATAATTGGCCTTTCCGGATCTCTGGCTTCGTTCCGCAAGATTACAAAAACGTGTACTACCCGCGAACCTTCTGTCGTTTTTCCATGCGATTGTAATACAATAGTAATAAGCAAAAAGAAGAAAGAATAAAAAAATAAAAGACAAATCTCGAATAAAACCCGTGAAAGAAAAAAAAAATTATAACGAGAGATTATAACATCATTATAACAAAAATATTTTCGGAAAGGAAAATGCAATATTAAATAAAATGTATTTTAATTTACGTAGAAAATTTAGTAATATGCATTGAGAAATAAATCGTGCCCACGACGGTTGTGCCCAGAAATAAAGCCGCTGTCAAAAATGTTTTATTCTTTTACGGTAACAGAAGCCACTCTACAAAAGTACACTCCGCACGTCAAAAGTTGACAGAACAGAAAGGATATTTACGTTGCATATATGCGCGCAAATGCAGTTGAGGCGCGCTCGTTCTATATCCAAGTACTCGCACTCTATATTTTTACCTCCGTGGAGATAGCAAATATTTAAGACAAACTTGTTTGTCTTTTCCGATCTATGGCCTACATTTACGCGTCCTCGTTTTAACTCGTTGCAAAGACACGTATGCATACATTTTCTGCACAATCAAAATTGACTTATTTACTTTCGCAAATTCGTTTATTTTGCTGTATTCTGCGTAAATACTTAACTACATACTGATTATACTAACTATCTTCAAAAGTAAGATTCAATTTTTAATTATTTTTTAGAACGGTTTTTGTCGCAGATATATATATTTAATTTTAATTTAATTGAAGTTTGATTTAAATATTATACATTAAATTTATATTTATTAATATATTGATTTTGAAGTGCAAATATATATGCAATATTTTTTCATTAATCCACGGTGAATATACTAAAAATTTACAATTTCAGTATCACATTATTTTCGCTGAAAATTTCAGACTTATGATTGCCATTAAAAAATTTAATTCTACAAGAAATAATTTTTTCAAGCATAAAATATTTTTATTATATTATTATTATATTAATTTAATCTTTTTTATATATCAATTCTCTATATATACTCTCTCTCTATATATATATATATCTCTCTCTCTCTCTCAAGAAAAAGACACGAATTTAAAACCAACTACTTTAATTTACTAATACAATTATATACATACATACAATGCAATATTCCCTCATCAATTAACATAGAAATCATGATGTAGAAATTATGCAAAGAAATGCTGAAACTTTCTTTCCAATGTTCTTTAATGTACGTCTTTTGCATTTATGCGAATATCATCACCTCAAACTTGACGAGTTTAAAGCTCATGCAATAAAACTGCACATGCGAAATTATTGTTGCAACTTCCTTGATCTCCATGACCAACTTTACGAGAGTATCCGGAGCTTCTACCAACTGAAATAATACTTACTCGCGATATCGAGCGAATGGGACCTGCATGTGCTTTTATGAAGTAACTCTCAGCGGCTAAAGGGGAAAGAATTGAATTATCCGAACTTGCACATGTACTCACTGCCACCGCATTTACACGATACATGATACGGAAGTCGCGTGTGCAAGGCTCATGTCCGCGAGTGCAGCAAGCAATCGCGTTAAATCTCCGTAAAAACTCCAAAGAATATATACATACTAACTCGTCTCTTTCCGGAAAAAGGCGTAATTTTCATAAAAAAAAGCCCGATTTATAAAATGACCTAGATCCTAGTAGATATTTTCAAACATGCAACTACGACTTTTTGCATTGCATCTTTTGCACGCTTATTTTCGCACATGAATAAAAATTATCTACTTTACGCCAATGATAATCTTTCTCAAAAGCAGCTAAAATGATCCTAATTTATATTCGTTGGAAAAATTTATATTTCAGATTGTAATTGAAATTAAGAAGGTGGATAAAAATTATCCGCTTGAGTTATTGATAAAGCTCGACATTAAATTTGAAGCATCACGCGCATATTTCAGCCGCGTATATTATGTCCAATATACAACATTGCGAGCTCTACTTACTTCACTCGGAAATGGGCTAAGCGTAATGGCATCTTAAGATCAGCTGCGGCGTAATTGCAAAGAGTTTTCACGTTAATCGGAATACGTTTCTCAAGCAGTCTATCTTTGGTACGGCGCTTCTCTCGAATAAAATTTTTACTTTTTACAGCTTCCTCAAGGTCCGGCATTATGGACGCCTTAAGGCCAGATATGAATATTGAAATTCTCATTATTCGCATGGCCGCGAGCGACCGCACGTGTAGCTGATCCGCACGTCGGCGGACACAATTTAAAGTTTCTAAACTAGCAAGTTAAATTATGAATACGTGCCCGGTCACTGGGCATCCCGAGCCGGCCAGTTAAACAGATAGATTGCAAAAGTCACATCCCGTAGGAGACTCGTTGCAGGTATCATCTTTATTTTACCGCTAGGTAACTAGGGTATATCGCAAAAGAGAAAGAGAGAAACGGAGAGACTGTAACAATTTATTTCTCGACACAGCGCTATCCTCTGCTTAATTATATACTTTATAAGAAGAGTTTTAACGAGCTTTTTACAACCTTGTATTACAAAATTCAAGAAGAAAGTCTTTGTTTCTACTTCTTTCACCAACAGACTTTCAAACAATGATCTTCCCTTAACGAAAGTACAATTCGACATCGTTTCTTGCAGTGATGTTTTCGAATTAAAGGCATTGAATTGTATGTATATGAAGGCAAAAGTTCCGGCGATCTTTTTCATTGAGAAACCTGAATAAATGTTGTTTTCTACAATATGAAAACAAAAACTTTAAAAGTTGTCTTACCGGAAAAATATTGATGGAGTATGATGGATAATGATAAATATACCAAGTACAAAAATCATCAATGCTCGCATTCGTTGCTCACAGCTGTTCTCAAATTTGTTATAATAATCCGAACTATAATATCAATATTGCAGCTTTTTTGCGCATTAGATTGAGAAATAAGTTGCTCGTAACTTTCAATTATCCAGAAATTTTCTAGGGGGCTATTTGGCCTGCGATGGAGTCGTTACATGCTGGCAACAAATGAGACTAAATATAGGTCGAGACCGGGTTAGATTCTTCATTTTTCAGCGCAGTTGGGAGACGCTTAACGTCATGAATCTCGCCGGTGTCGGACAAACAGGGACAGACGTGATTCTCTGCAATTAAACAACCCGAAATGAATATGAAAAGGGTGCTAACTGGAGCAAAGAAAAGTTCTCTCGGAACGGCTATGTTAGCACGCCGCGGCCTCGATTCCAGAAATTATCCTACTTTGTAGACACACCAAATTTACTTCCGCTTAAATAAAGCATCCCGGGTCCTCGTTCACAATTAACTAACTGCTCGTGGCAGATGTAGATCACAACATTCCGTCACTTCAACTCGACGCGAATTTCATTAATATTTCGGAGGATGCCGAAGAGAACGTAGATTGTTTACACAGATGTTTTGGAACGATATTTCACAAAAAAACAATATTTAAAAAAGGAGAAAAATTAATGACTCGCATTATTCACGAGCAATATTACTAGAAATAATGAAATCGTAATTTAATTTATCGTATGCCTTTTACGATATGCTATCTGCATTATTTATTTTGAAATAAATTTATTTATTTATCTCATACAAAACATTACGGATTCTCTTTATTTCAAAAACACTAAATACAATTTTATCGCTCGGTGCTTTTTCTCTAGAAACCTCTGCGCGATAATTAATCGTACAATAAATATACTTTTCGCAAAAAAATTGAATTTTTGGAATATATTTTCTCAGAACTCATCGCAGTAAAGCATCATTTCTCTAGTAAACATAAACCTCATCTCGTGACTTTTAACGTGTATGCAGTGAAAATCGTGGCAGGTCTGATCTTGGTGTTGCTCTAGGGAAAATAACATATTTCCCACTCTACCACGCGAGAAAATACGCGCATCTAAATCCACGCGTGAGTAAACGAGAGAATGAAACTAACTTGTATCATTTACTAGCATTCTCGATAAACCTCAATTTAAAATATTAATGTTGATGTGTTAATGCAATCATCTTATCATGTATGTTATATAATACGCTGTTTATAAAAAAATCCCCGATGTAATAATTTTACATCTGTGACATTCAGCTTTACAAACAATATTAATTTGTAATATCTAAAAAAAGATTTTTTTAAATAAATGGTTCTTGTATTGTAATAATAATTTTTCTTTATCTCCTCAACGTAGCATATACAAAGATTCATTGGATTCATTGGAAGAAGGCTTGCTTTAA